CTGTGTGGTGAGTCTATGGGTCTCTGTGTGCTGAGTCTATGGATCTCTGTGTGATGAGTCTATGGGTCTCTGTGTGGTGAGTCTGTGGGTCTGTGTGGTGAGTTTGTGGGTCTCTGTGTGGTGAGTCTGTGGGTCTGTGTGGTGAGTCTATGGGTCTCTGTGTGATGAGTCTGTGGGTCTCTGTGTGATGAGTCTGTGGGTCTCTGTGGTGAGTCTGTGGGTCTCTGTGTGCTGAGTCTATGGGTCTCTGTGTGGTGAGTCTATGGGTCTCTGTGTGATGAGTCTGTGGGTCTCTGTGTGGTGAGTCTGTGGGTCTCTGTGTGGTGAGTCTGTGGGTCTCTGTGTGGTGAGTCTGTGGGTCTCTGTGTGGTGAGTCTGTGGGTCTCTGTGTGGTGAGTCTGTGGGTCTCTGTGTGGTGAGTCTGTGGTCTCTGTTTGATGAGTCTGTGGGTCTCTGTGTGGTGAATCTCTGGGTCTCTGTGTGGTGAGTCTGTGGGTCTGTATGATGAGTTTCCGGGTCTCTGTGTGATGAGTCTATGGGTGTCTGTGTGGTGAGTCTATGGGTCTCTGTGTGCTGAGTCTATGGATCTCTGTGTGATGAGTCTATGGGTCTCTGTGTGGTGAGTCTGTGGGTCTGTGTGGTGAGTCTGTGGGTCTGTGTGGTGAGTCTGTGGGTCTCTGTGGTGAGTCTCTAGGTCTCTGTGTGGTGAGTCTGTGGGTCTCTGCTGTGTGAGTCTATGGGTCTCTGTGTGGTGAGTCTATGGGTCTCTGTGTGGTGAGTCTGTGGGTCTCTGCTGTGTGAGTCTGTGGGTCCCTGTGTGGTGAGTCTGTGGGTCTGTATGGTGAGTCTGTGGGTCTCTGTGGTGAGTCTGTGGGTCTCTGTGTGGTGAGTCTATGGGTCTCTGTGTGGTGAGTCTGTGGGTCTCTGTGTGGTGAGTCTATGGGTCTCTGTGTGGTGAGTCTGTGGTCTCTGTGTGATGAGTCTGTGGGTCTCTGTGTGGTGAGTCTGTGGGTCTCTGTGTGGTGAGTCTATGGGTCTCTGTGTGGTGAGTCTGTGGGTCTCTGTGTGGTGAATCTCTGGGTCTCTGTGTGGTGAGTCTGTGGGTCTGTATGATGAGTTTCCGGGTCTCTGTGTGATGAGTCTATGGGTGTCTGTGTGGTGAGTCTATGGGTCTCTGTGTGGTGAGTCTGTGGGTCTGTGTGTGGTGAGTCTGTGGGTCTGTGTGGTGAGTCTGTGGGTCTCTGTGGTGAGTCTGTGGGTCTCTGTGTGGTGAGTCTATGGGTCTCTGTGTGGTGAGTCTGTGGGTCTCTGTGTGGTGAGTCTATGGGTCTCTGTGTGGTGAGTCTGTGGTCTCTGTGTGATGAGTCTGTGGGTCTCTGTGTGGTGAGTCTGTGGGTCTCTGTGTGCTGAGTCTATGGATCTCTGTGTGATGAGTCTATGGGTCTCTGTGTGGTGAGTCTGTGGGTCTGTGTGGTGAGTCTGTGGGTCTGTGTGGTGAGTCTGTGGGTCTCTGCTGTGTGAGTCTATGGGTCTCTGTGTGGTGAGTCTGTGGGTCTCTGTGTGGTGAGTCTATGGGTCTCTGTGTGGTGAGTCTGTGGGTCTCTGCTGTGTGAGTCTATGGGTCCCTGTGTGGTGAGTCTGTGGGTCTCTGTGTGGTGAGTCTGTGGGTCTGTGTGGTGAGTCTGTGGGTCTCTGTGGTGAGTCTGTGGGTCTCTGTGTGGTGAGTCTATGGGTCTCTGTGTGGTGAGTCTGTGGGTCTCTGTGTGGTGAGTCTATGGGTCTCTGTGTGGTGAGTCTGTGGTCTCTGTGTGATGAGTCTGTGGGTCTCTGTGTGGTGAGTCTGTGGGTCTCTGTGTGGTGAGTCTGTGGGTCTCTGTGTGGTGGGTCTCTGTGTGGTGAGTCTCTGGGTCTCTGTGTGGTGAGTCTGTGGGTCTCTGTGTGGTGAGTCTGTGGGTCTCTGTGTGGTGAGTCTATGGGTCTCTGTGTGGTGAGTCTGTGGGTCTCTGTGTGGTGAGTCTGTGGGTCTCTGCTGTGTGAGTCTATGGGTCTCTGTGTGGTGAGTCTGTGGGTCTCTGTGTGGTGAGTCTGTGGGTCTGTGTGGTGAGTCTGTGGGTCTCTGTGGTGAGTCTGTGGGTCTCTGTGTGGTGAGTCTATGGGTCTCTGTGTGGTGAGTCTGTGGGTCTCTGTGTGGTGAATCTCTGGGTCTCTGTGTGGTGAGTCTGTGGGTCTGTGTGGTGAGTTTGTGGGTCTCTGTGTGGTGAGTCTGTGGGTCTGTGTGGTGAGTCTATGGGTCTCTGTGTGATGAGTCTGTGGGTCTCTGTGTGATGAGTCTGTGGGTCTCTGTGGTGAGTCTGTGGGTCTCTGTGTGCTGAGTCTATGGGTCTCTGTGTGGTGAGTCTATGGGTCTCTGTGTGATGAGTCTGTGGGTCTCTGTGTGGTGAGTCTGTGGGTCTCTGTGTGGTGAGTCTGTGGGTCTCTGTGTGGTGAGTCTGTGGGTCTCTGTGTGGTGAGTCTGTGGGTCTCTGTGTGGTGAGTCTGTGGGTCTCTGTGTGGTGAGTCTGTGGTCTCTGTGTGATGAGTCTGTGGGTCTCTGTGTGGTGAATCTCTGGGTCTCTGTGTGGTGAGTCTGTGGGTCTGTATGATGAGTTTCCGGGTCTCTGTGTGATGAGTCTATGGGTGTCTGTGTGGTGAGTCTATGGGTCTCTGTGTGCTGAGTCTATGGATCTCTGTGTGATGAGTCTATGGGTCTCTGTGTGGTGAGTCTGTGGGTCTGTGTGGTGAGTCTGTGGGTCTGTGTGGTGAGTCTGTGGGTCTCTGTGGTGAGTCTCTAGGTCTCTGTGTGGTGAGTCTGTGGGTCTCTGCTGTGTGAGTCTATGGGTCTCTGTGTGGTGAGTCTATGGGTCTCTGTGTGGTGAGTCTGTGGGTCTCTGCTGTGTGAGTCTGTGGGTCCCTGTGTGGTGAGTCTGTGGGTCTGTGTGGTGAGTCTGTGGGTCTCTGTGGTGAGTCTGTGGGTCTCTGTGTGGTGAGTCTATGGGTCTCTGTGTGGTGAGTCTGTGGGTCTCTGTGTGGTGAGTCTATGGGTCTCTGTGTGGTGAGTCTGTGGTCTCTGTGTGATGAGTCTGTGGGTCTCTGTGTGGTGAGTCTGTGGGTCTCTGTGTGGTGAGTCTGTGGGTCTCTGTGTGGTGAGTCTGTGGGTCTCTGTGTGGTGGGTCTCTGTGTGGTGAGTCTCTGGGTCTCTGTGTGGTGAGTCTGTGGGTCTCTGTGTGGTGAGTCTGTGGGTCTCTGTGTGGTGAGTCTATGGGTCTCTGTGTGGTGAGTCTGTGGGTCTCTGTGTGGTGAGTCTGTGGGTCTCTGCTGTGTGAGTCTATGGGTCTCTGTGTGGTGAGTCTGTGGGTCTCTGTGTGGTGAGTCTGTGGGTCTGTGTGGTGAGTCTGTGGGTCTCTGTGGTGAGTCTGTGGGTCTGTGTGGTGAGTCTGTGGGTCTCTGTGGTGAGTCTCTAGGTCTCTGTGTGGTGAGTCTGTGGGTCTCTGCTGTGTGAGTCTATGGGTCTCTGTGTGGTGAGTCTGTGGGTCTCTGTGTGGTGAGTCTATGGGTCTCTGTGTGGTGAGTCTGTGGGTCTCTGCTGTGTGAGTCTATGGGTCCCTGTGTGGTGAGTCTGTGGGTCTGTGTGGTGAGTCTGTGGGTCTCTGTGGTGAGTCTGTGGGTCTCTGTGTGGTGAGTCTATGGGTCTCTGTGTGGTGAGTCTGTGGGTCTCTGTGTGGTGAGTCTATGGGTCTCTGTGTGGTGAGTCTGTGGTCTCTGTGTGATGAGTCTGTGGGTCTCTGTGTGGTGAGTCTGTGGGTCTCTGTGTGGTGAGTCTATGGGTCTCTGTGTGGTGAGTCTGTGGGTCTCTGTGTGGTGAATCTCTGGGTCTCTGTGTGGTGAGTCTGTGGGTCTGTATGATGAGTTTCCGGGTCTCTGTGTGATGAGTCTATGGGTGTCTGTGTGGTGAGTCTATGGGTCTCTGTGTGCTGAGTCTATGGATCTCTGTGTGATGAGTCTATGGGTCTCTGTGTGGTGAGTCTGTGGGTCTGTGTGGTGAGTTTGTGGGTCTCTGTGTGGTGAGTCTGTGGGTCTGTGTGGTGAGTCTATGGGTCTCTGTGTGATGAGTCTGTGGGTCTCTGTGTGATGAGTCTGTGGGTCTCTGTGGTGAGTCTGTGGGTCTCTGTGTGCTGAGTCTATGGGTCTCTGTGTGGTGAGTCTATGGGTCTCTGTGTGATGAGTCTGTGGGTCTCTGTGTGGTGAGTCTGTGGGTCTCTGTGTGGTGAGTCTGTGGGTCTCTGTGTGGTGAGTCTGTGGGTCTCTGTGTGGTGAGTCTGTGGGTCTCTGTGTGGTGAGTCTGTGGGTCTCTGTGTGGTGAGTCTGTGGGTCTCTGTGTGGTGAGTCTCTGGGTCTCTGTGTGATGAGTCTGTGGGTCTCTGTGTGATGAGTCTGTGGGTCTCTGTGTGCTGGGTCTCTGGGTCTCTGTGTGGTGAGTCTATGGGTCTCTGTGTGATGAGTCTGTGGGTCTCTGTGTGGTGAGTCTGTGGGTCTCTGTGTGGTGAGTCTGTGGGTCTCTGTGTGATGAGTCTGTGGGTCTCTGTGTGGTGAGTCTCTGGGTCTCTGTGTGGTGAGTCTCTGGGTCTCTGTGTGGTGAGTCTATGGGTCTCTGTGTGATGAGTCTGTGGGTCTCTGTGTGATGAGTCTGTGGGTCTCTGTGGTGAGTCTGTGGGTCTCTGTGTGCTGAGTCTCTGGGTCTCTGTGTGGTGAGTCTATGGGTCTCTGTGTGATGAGTCTGTGGGTCTCTGTGTGGTGAGTCTGTGGGTCTCTGTGTGGTGAGTCTGTGGGTCTCTGTGTGGGTGAGTCTGTGGGTCTCTGTGTGGGTGAGTCTATGGGTCTCTGTGTGTGCTGAGTCTGTGGGTCTCTGTGTGAGTCCCTGTTGACCGGGCCAAGCCCATGAAATCACCACACACACACACGAGTTACAGCGCTCGTTGAGTTTAATTACAAACGGATCGGCGCGTGGGGGGCAGGCCGATGATCACACGTGCCCCCACGGACACAGCGAGAGAGAGAGAGTGGGAGAGGGGACAGCGGGTGACAGAAAGTAAATTCGTCCAAAATGCCGGCCAGCCAACTCGTCCACAGTCTCCTTGACCCCACCGACGAGACGCGAGCCACACACCTCCTCCTCCTCCTCATCCTCCTCATCCTCCTCATCCTCCTCCTCATCCTCCTCATCCTCCTCATCCTCGTCGTCGTAAGGGGTGGGGCCCCCTCCTTGATGAGGTGGTCGTCTCCCCCGCAACGAGGTGGACTCGACAATAAGATGGTGAAGCGTTGACGAGGCATGAGACGGCCCCCTCCTCAATGAGGTGGTGTCAACGGTAACTCGATGGTCTCCTCGGCGAGGTGGGGTCTCCTCGGCGAGGTGGTCTCCTCGGCGAGGTGGTCTCCTCGGCGAGATGGTCTCCTCGGCGAGGTGGTCTCCTCGGCGAGGTGGTCTCCTCGGCGAGGTGGTCTCCTCGATGAGCTGACCTCCTCGTTGAGGTGTTCTCCCTGACAAGGTGGACCCCACGGTGAGGTGCTCACAAATCTTCCCGCCCGGTTGTGCCCCTGTCCTCATCGTCACCACCGTCACCACCGCCACCACCGCCACCACCACCATCACCACCACCGTCACCACCTTCACCACCGTCGCCACCACCACCGCAGTCACCACCACCACCACCACCGTCATCACTGGAGTCCTCATCGCTGCTCTCAGTGTACGCACCGAGTCCAGGCAGCACGGCCACGGTCTTGTTACCCCCCACCACCACCACCGCCGGGCTACCCCCCACCACCACCGCCGCTGGGCCGCCCCTCCCCACCACCGCCACACCTGCAAGATAAACGAACACACGCATCACTCCCACGGCCCGCATTCTCAATCCACTGCTGGATGAGTGTCGCGCGCCCCCACCACCACCACCGAGGACCCCCCCACCACCACCGAGGACCCCCCCACTACCACCCACCACCACCACCACCCCCCCACCACCACCGAGGACCCCCCCCACCACCACCACCGAGGACCCCCCCCACTACCACCCACCATCGAGTCCCCACCACTACCGGGTCTCCCCCCCACCACCACCACCAAGGACCCCCCACTACCCCCCACCACCACCACCGAGGACCCCCCCACTACCACCCACCATCGAGTCCCCACCACTACCGGGTCTCCCCCCCACCACCACCACCAAGGACCCCCCACTACCCCCCACCACCACCACCGAGGACCCCCCCACTACCACCCACCATCGAGTCCCCACCACTACCGGGTCTCCCCCCACCACCAAGGACCCCCCACTTCCCCCCACCACCGAGGACCCCCCCACTACCACCCACCATCGAGTCCCCACCACTACCGGGTCTCCCCCCCCACCACCACCACCAAGGACCCCCCACTACCCCCCCACCACCACCCCCCCCCCCCCACCACTACCGGTCTCCCCCCACCACCACCCCCCCACCATCACCACCACTACTACCAAGTCCCCCCCCCACTAAACCCCGCTGGGGCTCAGCCCAGAATCAGTATTTACACTGCAGCAGGAGGAATCCGAAGAGCTGTAAAGCTCTTTTATCACAGATGTCCAGGATGGACGCGGGGTCACAACGTTACGACCACAACAAAGACAAAGATCCCCCGTGTAGCCTCAACAGACTGTAGGGGCAAGTGCTGTTAGCGAGCAGCACCTACAAAGACAAAGATCCCCCGTGTAGCCTTCACAGACTGTAGGGGCAAGTGCTGTTAGCGAGCAGCACCTACAAAGACAAAGATCCCCCGTGTAGCCTTAACAGACTGTAGGGGCAGGTGCTGTTAGCGAGCACAAAGACAAAGATCCCCCGTGTAGCCTTCACAGACTGTAGGGGCAAGTGCTGTTAGCGAGCAGCACCTACAAAGACAAAGATCCCCCGTGTAGCCTGAACAGACTGTTGGGGCAAGTGCTGTTAGCGAGCAGCACCTACAAAGACAAAGATCCCCCGTGTAGCCTCAGACTGTAGGGGCAAGTGCTGTTAGTGAGCACCAGCTATGAAGGCCGGAACGGTACACGAGGGGGTGGGTGGCCAGCACCACGCCCGGCCGCCTTTGTCTCCCCAGTGGCGATGTTTACTACACACTGCACCAGGTACTCATTTTGAGGCCGAGTCGACCTAGGGGAGGCCTGGGACCGGTTCAGATAATCGCCACCGGTGTTGGCCGTGAGCGGGAATCGAACCCGGGTCGCCGGGTTCATAGCGCAGCGTAGCGCTAACCGCTGCACCACCGCTCCCCACGGTACACACACAAACACGATGGGTGTGCAAAGTACAGAAAAGGTGAACAGATCACGTGACAACTATATACAGAATCAGTATATGCATACACTGCAGGAGAAATCCGATGAGCTATCAAGCTCTTTGTTTCACACATGTCCAGTCACCTGCGAGCTCCCTCGACGCCGTGGTGGCCGGGGAGTCTGTGGCAACGCCTTCACCTCCTCGTGGTCTCTTAGGGACGGTCATCTCGTCTGTGCTGTTGCTGCTGCTGCTGCTCAGCACATCATCGAAGCCCGTCGAGAATTAACCACTCACTCAACCACCCATCCACTCACTCACTCAACCACCGATCCACTCACTCACTCAACCATCCATCCACTCACTCACTCACTCAACCACCGATCCACTCACTCACTCAACCACCCATCCACTCACTCACTCACTCAACCACCGATCCACTCACTCACTCAACCATCCATCCACTCACTCACTCACTCAACCACCCATCCACTCACTCACTCAACCACCCATCTACTCACTCACTCAACCACCCATCCACTCACTCAATCACCCATCCACTCACTCACTCAACCATCCATCCATCCACTCACTCACTCAACCACCCATCCACTCACTCACTCAACCACCCATCCACTCACTCACTCAACCACCCATCCACTCACTCACTCAACCACCCATCCACTCACTCACTCAACCACCCATCCACTCACTCACTCAACCACCCATCCACTCACTCACTCACTCAATCACCCATCCACTCATTCACTCACTCAATCACCCATCCACTCATTCACTCACTCAATCACCCATCCACTAACTCACTCAACCACCCATCCACTCACTCACTCAACCACCCATCCACTCACTCAACCACCCATCCACTCACTCAACCACCCATCCACTCACTCAACCACCCATCCACTCACTCAATCACCCATCCACTCACTCACTCAACCATCCATCCATCCACTCACTCACTCAACCACCCATCCACTCACTCACTCAACCACCCATCCACTCACTCACTCAACCACCCATCCACTCACTCACTCAACCACCCATCCACTCACTCACTCAACCACCCATCCACTCACTCACTCACTCAATCACCCATCCACTCATTCACTCACTCAATCACCCATCCACTCATTCACTCACTCAATCACCCATCCACTAACTCACTCAACCACCCATCCACTCACTCACTCAACCACCCATCCACTCACTCAACCACCCATCCACTCACTCACTCACTCAATCACCCATCCACTCATTCACTCACTCAATCACCCATCCACTCATTCACTCACTCAATCACCCATCCACTAACTCACTCAACCACCCATCCACTCACTCACTCAACCACCCATCCACTCACTCAACCACCCATCCACTCACTCAACCACCCATCCACTCACTCAATCACCCATCCACTCACTCACTCAACCATCCATCCATCCACTCACTCACTCAACCACCCATCCACTCACTCACTCAACCACCCATCCACTCACTCACTCAACCACCCATCCACTCACTCACTCAACCACCCATCCACTCACTCACTCAACCACCCATCCACTCACTCACTCAACCACCCATCCACTCACTCACTCACTCAATCACCCATCCACTCATTCACTCACTCAATCACCCATCCACTCATTCACTCACTCAATCACCCATCCACTAACTCAGTCAACCACCCATCCACTCACTCACTCAACCACCCATCCACTCACTCAACCACCCATCCACTCACTCAACCACCCATCCACTCACTCAACCACCCATCCACTCACTAACTCACTCAACCACCCATCCACTCACTCATCCACTCACTCACTCGACCACCCATCCACTCACTCACTCTACCACTCACCCACCCACTCACTCACCTGCTCACTCAACCAGCTGCTCACTGTGGGTGTGAGGGGGGTGTGAAGGAGTGTGAGAAGGTTGCTGAGGGGGCTGAGAGGGGGTGTGAGGGGATGAGCGAGGTGTGAGAAGGTTGCCGAGCGGGGGTGTGAATGCCGAACCTCCTGCGTTTGACGGCACCTGCCAGGAGCTGCGTCTGCGACGGCCGCGGCTTCGGTTTCAACTTCGCCTCCGCCGGTGCCGCCGGTGCCGCCGCTGCCGCCGTCACCGCCACCGCCATCGCCCTCTTGTCACTGCGATCTGGCAACTCCTTCTCCAGGGCGGACGCCCTCCGCACCACCGCGTCCTGAGCGGCCGCACCGCCACCGCGTCAAGGGCAACATGCTGCTGATGATGATGCAGATGATGATGATGATGATACGGGAACAATATCTAATAACAGCTGATGACGATGCTGACGATGATGCTGAAAAAGCTAAACAGCTGATGATGATGATAACGATGATGCTACCGAAAGATCTAACAACAGCTGATGATGATGATGATGACGTGGTGGTGGCGTTAGTGGTGGTGGTGATAGTGGTAGTAGTAGTGGTGGTGATAGTGGTAGTAGTGATTGTGATGATAGTGGTAGTAGTGGTGGTGATGATAGTGGTAGTAGTAGTGGTGGTGATAGTGGTAGTAGTGGTGGTGATGATAGTGGTAGTAGTAGTGGTGGTGATAGTGGTAGTAGTGGTGGTGGTGGTAGTAGTGGTAGTGGTGATAGTAGTGGTGAGGGTGGTGATTATAGTGGTAGCAGTAGTGATGGTGATAGTGGTAGTAGTGGTGGTGGTGGTGGTAGTAGTAGTGATGATAGTTGTGGTAGTGGTGGTGATGATAGTGGTAGTGGTGGTGATGATAGTGGTAGTAGTAGTGGTGGTGATAGTGGTAGTAGTGGTGGTGGTGATAGTGGTAATAGTGGTGGTGATAGTGGTAGTAGTGGTGGTGGTGATAGTGGTAGTAGTAGTGGTGATGATAGTGGTAGTAGTGGTGGTGATAGTGGTAGTAGTGGTGGTGATGATAGTGGTAGTAGTGGTGGTGATAGTGGTAGTAGTAGTGGTGGTGATAGTGGTAGTAGTGGTGGTGGTGATAGTGGTAGTAGTGGTGGTGATGATAGTGGTAGTAGTGGTGATGATAGTGGTAGTAGTGGTAGTAGTGGTGGTGATAGTGGTAGTAGTGGTGGTGATGATAGTGGTAGTAGTGGTGATGATAGTGGTAGTAGTGGTAGTAGTGGTGGTGATAGTGGTAGTAGTGGTGGTGATGATAGTGGTAGTAGTGGTGGTGATAGCGGTAGTAGTGGTGGTGGTGATAGTGGTAGTAGTGGTGGTGGTGATAGTGGTAGTAGTGGTGGTGATGATAGTGGTAGTAGTGGTGATGATGATAGTGGTAGTAGTGGTGGTGGTGATAGTGGTGGTGGTGATAGTGGTAGTAGTGGTGGTGATGATAGTGGTAGTAGTGGTGGTGATGATAGTGGTAGTAGTAGGTGGTGACAGTGTCACTACTTGGTGACCATCATCACGCTCCTCATCACGTCACACCCACTCGTCGTCACCCGAGCTAAAAAAATGACCGCCGATATTCCGCCGTGGCTAGCGGCTAGCGGCTAGTGGCTAGCGGCAGCTGGCTAGCGGCTAGCGACAGCTGGCTAGCGACAGCTGGCTAGCGGCTAGCAGCTAGTGGCTAGCGGCAGCTGGCTAGCGGCTAGCGACAGCTGGCTAGCGACAGCTGGCTAGCGGCTAGCGACAGCTGGCTAGCGACAGCTGGCTAGCGGCTAGCGACAGCTGGCTAGCGGCAGCTGGCTAGCGGCTAGCGACAGCTGGCTAGCGGCTAGCGACAGCTTGCTAGCGACAGCTGGCTAGCGACAGCTGGCTAGCGGCTAGCGACAGCTGGCTAGCGGCAGCTGGCTAGCGGCTAGCGACAGCTGGCTAGCGGCTAGCGGCTAGCGACAGCTGGCTAGCGACAGCTGGCTAGCGGCAGCTGGCTAGAGGCTAGCGACAGCTGACTAGCGACAGCTGGCTAGCGGCAGCTGACTAGCGACAGCTGGCTAGCGGCAGCTGGCTAGCGGCAGCTGGCTAGCGACAGCTGGCTAGCGGCAGCTGACTAGCGGCAGCTGACTAGCGACAGCTGGCTAGCGACAGCTGGCTAGCGACAGCTGGCTAGCGGCAGCTGACTAGCGGCAGCTGACTAGCGACAGCTGGCTAGCGACAGCTGACTAGCGGCAGCTGGCTAGCGACAGCTGGCTAGCGGCAGCTGACTAGCGGCAGCTGGCTAGCGACAGCTGGCTAGCGGCAGCTGACTAGCGACAGCTGACTAGCGACAGCTGACTAGCGGCAGCTGGCTAGCGACAGCTGACTAGCGGCAGCTGACTAGCGACAGCTGGCTAGCGGCAGCTGGCTAGCGACAGCTGACTAGCGACAGCTGACTAGCGACAGCTGACTAGCGACAGCTGACTAGCGGCAGCTGGCTAGCGACAGCTGACTAGCGGCAGCTGGCTAGCGACAGCTGGCTAGCGGCAGCTGACTAGCGGCAGCTGACTAGCGACAGCTGGCTAGCGACAGCTGGCTAGCGACAGCTGACTAGCGGCAGCTGGCTAGCGACAGCTGACTAGCGGCAGCTGGCTAGCGACAGCTGGCTAGCGACAGCTGGCTAGCGGCAGCTGACTAGCGGCAGCTGACTAGCGGCAGCTGGCTAGCGACAGCTGGCTAGCGGCAGCTGACTAGCGGCAGCTGACTAGCGGCAGCTGACTAGCGGCAGCTGGCTAGCGACAGCTGGCTAGCGGCAAGCGGCAGCTGACTAGCGGCTAGCGACAGCTGGCTAGCGACAGCTGGCTAGCGACAGCTGGCTAGCGGCTAGCGACAGCTGGCTAGCGGCTAGCGACAGCTGACTAGCGACAGCTGACTAGCGACAGCTGGCTAGCGGCTAGCGGCAGCTGGCTAGCGACAGCTGACTAGCGACAGCTGGCTAGCGACAGCTGGCTAGCGGCAGCTGGCTAGCGGCTAGCGACAGCTGGCTAGCGACAGCTGACTAGCGACAGCTGGCTAGCGGCTAGCGACAGCTGGCTAGCGACAGCTGGCTAGCGGCTAGCGACAGCTGGCTAGCGACAGCTGGCTAGCGGCTAGCGACAGCTGACTAGCGACAGCTGGCTAGCGGCTAGCGGCAGCTGACTAGCGGCTAGCGGCTAGCGACAGCTGGCTAGCGGCTAGCAACAGCTGGCTAGCGACAGCTGGCTAGCGGCTAGCGACAGCTGGCTAGCGACAGCTGGCTAGCGGCAGCTGGCTAGTGGCTAGCGACAGCTGGCTAGCGACAGCTGGCTAGCGGCTAGCGACAGCTGGCTAGCGACAGCTGGCTAGCGACAGCTGGCTAGCGGCAGCTGGCTAGCAGCTAGCGGCTAGCGGCAAGCGGCAGCCGGCTAGCGACAGCTGGCTAGCGGCTAGCGACAGCTGACTAGCGACAGCTGGCTAGCGGCTAGCGACAGCTGGCTAGCGGCTAGCGACAGCTGACTAGCGACAGCTGGCTAGCGACAACTGGCTAGCGGCTAGCGGCAGCTGACTAGCGGCTAGCGACAGCTGGCTAGCGGCTAGCGACAGCTGGCTAGCGGCAGCTGGCTAGCGACAGCTGGCTAGCGGCTAGCGACAGCTGGCTAGCGGCTAGCGGCAGCTGGCTAGCGGCAAGCGGCAGCTGGCTAGCGGCTAGCGGCAGCTGGCTAGCGACAGCTGGCTAGCGGCTAGCGACAGCTGGCTAGCGACAGCTGGCTAGCGGCAGCTGGCTAGCGGCAGCTGGCTAGCGGCAAGCGGCAGCTGACTAGCGGCTAGCGACAGCTGGCTAGCGGCTAGCGACAGCTGACTAGCGGCTAGCGACAGCTGGCTAGCGGCAGCTGGCTAGCGGCTAGCGACAGCTGGCTAGCGGCTAGCGGCAAGCGGCAGCTGGCTAGCAGCTAGCGGCTAGCGACAGCTGGCTAGCGGCTAGCGACAGCTGGCTAGTGGCTAGCGGCAGCTGGCTAGCGGCTAGCGACAGCTGGCTAGTGGCTAGCGGCAGCTGGCTAGCGGCTAGCGGCAGCTCGCTAGCGGCTAGCGGCAGCCGGCTAGCGGCTAGCGGCAAGCGGCAGCTGGCGGATACACGGTACTCCAGGATGGCGCGACGGTCCTCGATGATTCTACGCCGGTCCAAGAGCTCCTGCTGCTTCGACACCTCGCTGAGGAAGTCCACCTCGTCCGTCTCCAGACCACGCACCATGTTCTCTACGGGAGACAGAGGGGGACAGAGAGACAGACAGAGAGACAGATAGGTGGCTCTAGGGGCGAGTGAGGTGCTGGGTCTAGGGGTGAGTGAGTGACGTGCTGGGTCTAGGAGTGAGTGAGGTGCTGGGTCTAGGGGTGAGTGAGTGAGGTGCTGGGTGAGTGAGTGAGGTGCTGGGTGAGTGAGTGAGGTGCTGGGTGAGTGAGTGAGGTGCTGGGTCTAGGGGTGAGTGAGTGAGGTGCTGGGTCTAGGGGTGAGTGAGTGAGGTGCTGGGTCTAGGGGTGAGTGAGGTGCTGGGTCTACGGGTGAGTGAGTGAGGTGCTGGGTCTAGGGGTGAGTGAGGTGCTGGGTGAGTGAGTGAGGTGCTGGGTCTAGGGGTGAGTGAGTGAGGTGCTGGGTCTAGGGGTGAGTGAGGTGCTGGGTCTAGGGGTGAGTGAGTGAGGTGCTGGGTGAGTGAGTGAGGTGCTGGGTGAGTGAGTGAGGTGCTGGGTGAGTGAGTGAGGTGCTGGGTGAGTGAGTGAGGTGCTGGGTGAGTGAGTGAGGTGCTGGGTGAGTGAGTGAGGTGCTGGCTGAGTGAGTGAGGTGCTGGCTGAGTGAGTGAGGTGCTGGCTGAGTGAGTGAGGTGCTGGCTGAGTGAGTGAGGTGCTGGCTAGGTGAGTGAGGTGCTGGCTGAGTGAGTGAGGTGCTGGCTGAGTGAGTGAGGTGCTGGCTGAGTGAGTGAGGTGCTGGGTGAGTGAGTGAGGTGCTGGGTGAGTGAGTGAGGTTATGGCTGAGTGAGTGAGGTGCTGGCTGAGTGAGTGAGGTGCTGGGTGAGTGAGTGACGTGCTGGCTGAGTGAGTGAGGTGCTGGGTGAGTGAGTGAGGTGCTGGCTGAGTGAGTGAGGTGCTGGGTGAGTGAGTGAGGTGCTGGCTGAGTGAGGTGCTGATTGAGTACTCACTGAACTTGAACTGCTCGTCGTACTCCGCTTGCTTCTTGTCCTTCTGCTCCTGCAGTCGCTCGAAGAGCGAGCGAGCGTCGTACTCCTCCTCGGGGCACTCTGCGGCAACACGCGGCTCGCTCGCTCGCCCGCTCACCCGCTCACCCGCTCACCCGCTCACCCACCCGCTCACCCACCCGCTCACCCGCTCACCCGCTCACCCACCCGCTCGCCCGCTCACCCACCCGCTCACCCACCCGCTCACCCACCCGCTCACCCGCCCGCTCACCCACCCGCTCACCCACCCGCTCACCCGCCCGCTCGCCCGACCGCTCGCCCGCTCACCCACCCACCCGCTCACCCACCCGCTCACCCACCTGCTCACCCACCCGCTCACCCACCCGCTCACCCGCCCGCTCGCCCGACCGCTCGCCCGCTCACCCACCCGCTCACCCACCTGCTCACCCACCCGCTCACCCACCCGCTCACCCGCCCGCTCACCCACCTGCTCACCCACCCGCTCACCCACCCGCTCACCCGCCCGCTCGCCCGACCGCCCACCCGGCCGACCGCCCGCTCGCTCGCCCACCCTCGGTGTATATCACACGCACTCTGTACACACACACTACACACGGTGTACATCACACACACTCTGTACACACACACTACACACGGTGTATACCACACACACTCTGTACACACACACTACACACGGTGTACATCACACACACTCTGTACACACACACTACACACGGTGTATACCACACACACTCTGTACACACACACTACACATGGTGTACATCACACACACTCTGTACACACACGCTACACGCGGTGTATACCACACACACTCTGTACACACACACTACACACGGTGTACATCACACACACACTCTGTACACACACACTACACACGGTGTACATCACACACACTCTGTACACACACACTACACACGGTGTATACCACACACACTCTGTACACACACACTACACATGGTGTACATCACACACACTCTGTACACACACGCTACACGCGGTGTATACCACACACACTCTGTACACACACACTACACACGGTGTACATCACACACACACTCTGTACACACACACTACACACGGTGTACATCACACACACTCTGTACACACACACTACACACGGTGTACATCACACACACACTCTGTACACACACACTACACACGGTGTACATCACACACACTCTGTACACACACACTCACACGCAGTGTATACCACACACACTCTGTACACACACACTACACACGGTGTACATCACACACACTCTGTACACACACACTACACACGGTGTACATCACACACACTCTGTACACACACACTACACACGGTGTACATCACACACACTCACACGCAGTGTATACCACACACACTCTGTACACACACACTACACACGGTGTACATCACACACACTCTGTACACACACACTCACACGCAGTGTATACCACACACACTCTGTACACACACACTACACACGGTGTACATCACACACACTCTGTACACACACACTACACACGGTGTACATCACACACACTCACACGCAGTGTATACCACACACACTCTGTACACACACACTACACACGGTGTACATCACACACACTCTGTACACACACACTACACACGGTGTATACCACACACACTCTGTACACACACTACACATGGTGTATACCACACACACTCTGTACACACACACTACACATGGTGTACATCACACACACTCTGTACACACGCTCACACGGTGTATATCACACTCACACACTCTGTACACACACACTACACACGGTGTATATCACACGCACTCTGTACACACACTCTACACACGGTGTACATTACACACACTCTGTACACACACTCACACACGGTGTATACCACACACACTCTGTACACACACACTACACACGGTGTACATCACACACACTCTGTACACACACACTACACACGGTGTACATTACACACACTCTGTACACTACAGTGTATACATCACACACTCACACACTCTGTACACACACACTACACACGGTGTACAAACATCACTCTGTACACTACAGTGTATACCACACACACTCTGTACACACACACTACACACGGTGTACATCACACACACTCTGTACACACACACTACACACGGTGTACATCACACACACTCTGTACACACACACTACACACGGTGTACATCACACACACTCTGTACACACGCTCACACGGTGTACATCACACACACTCTGTACACACACACTACACATGGTGTACATCACACACACTCTGTACACACACACTACACATGGTGTACATCACACACACTTTGTACACACACACTACACATGGTGTACATCACACACACTCTGTACACACACACTACACATGGTGTATACCACACACACTCTGTACACACACACTACACACGGTGTACATCACACACACTCTGTACACACGCTCACACGCGGTGTATACCACACGCACTCTGTACACTACAGTGTATACATCACACACTCGCACGTTCTGTACACACGCTCACACACGGTGTACATCACACACACACAGTGTACACTACACAGTGTGTACATCACACACACACAGTGTACACTACACAGTGTGTACATCACACACTCTACACACATCATACGCGGTGTGTACATCACACACACACACGGTGTGTACATCACACACACACGGTGTGTACATCACACACACACACGGTGTGTACATCACACACACACACACGGTGTGTACATCACACACACACACGGTGTGTACATCACACACACACGGTGTGTACATCACACACACACTCAATGTACACACACACAATGTGTACACACACACACTGTGTACACACACACACACTGTGTACACACACACACACACAATGTGTGTACACACACACACACACAATGTGTGTACACACACACAATGTGTGTACACACACACATACACTGTGTACACACACACATACACTGTGTACACACACACACACACTGTGTACACACACACACACACACTGTGTACACATACACACACTGTGTACACACACACAATGTGTACACACACACTGTGTACACACACACACTGTGTACACACACACACTGTGTACACACACACACTGTGTACACACACACACTGTGTACACACACACTCACACACACCACAAGCGGTGTGCACATCGGACACACTCACACACACACTCACACACTCACGGTGTATATCACACACACACTCACACACACTCGCACACTTACAAACGGTGTATATCACACACACACACTCACACAGTACACAGGGTATGTACATCACACACACTCACACACGGTGTATATCACACAGACACTCACACACAGTGTATATCACACACACACACACTCACACAAAGTGTACATCACACACACAGACACGGTGTACATCACACACTCACACACGGTGTATATCACACTCACACACTCACACACGGTGTATATCACACACACACTCACACACGGTGTATATCACACACACTCACACAAAGTGTACATCACACACACACACTCACACAAAGTGTACATCACACACACAGACACTCACACACACTCGGTGTATATCACACACACAGACACTCACACACGGTGTAAATCACACACACACTCACGCACGGTGTATATCACACACACACTCACACAAAGTGTATAACACACACACACGGTGTATATCACACACACACACTCTGTACATCACACACTCACACACACACTCACACAAAGTGTATATCACACACACACGGTGTGCATCACACACACACAGACACTCACACACTCACACAAAGTGTACATCACACTCACAAAGTGTACATCACACACACACACACTCACACACACTCGCACACTTACAAACGGTGTATATCACACACACACACTCACACAGTACACAGGGTACGTACATCACACACACTCACACATGGTGTATATCACACAGACACTCACACACAGTGTATATCACACACACAGACACTCACACACACTCACACTCGGTGTATATCACACACACAGACACTCACACACGGTGTAAATCACACACACACTCACGCACGGTGTATATCACACACACACTCACACAAAGTGTATAACACACACACACGGTGTATATCACACACACTCACACACGGTGTATATCACACAGACACTCACACAAAGTGTACATCACACACACAGACACGGTGTACATCACACACTCACACTCACACACGGTGTATATCACACTCACACACTCACACACGGTGTATATCACACACACACTCACACACGGTGTATATCACACACACACACTCACACAAAGTGTACATCACACACACAGACACTCACACACCCTCACACTCGGTGTATATCACACACACAGACACTCACACACGGTGTAAATCACACACACACTCACGCACGGTGTATATCACACACACACTCACACAAAGTGTATAACACACACGGTGTATATCACACACACACACTCTGTACATCACACACTCTGTACATCACACACTCACACACACACTCACACAAAGTGTATATCACACACACACGGTGTACATCACACACACACAGACACTCACACACTCACACAAAGTGTACATCACACTCACACACGGTGTATATCACACACACACACTCACACAAAGTGTACATCACACACACACTCACACAAAGTGTACATCACACATACACTCACACACGGTGTACATCACACACACACACTCACACACGGTGTACATCACACTCACACACACTCACACACACTCACACACACGGTGTACATCACACACTCACACACTCACATAAAGTGTACATCACACACACACACTCACACACTCGCACACACTCACACAAAGTGTACATCACACACACACACTCACACACTCGCACACACTCACACAAAGTGTACATCACACACACACACTCACACACGGTGTACATCACACACACACACACTCACACACACACTCACACACTCACACACACTCACACACTCACACACACGGTGTACATCACACACTCACACACTCACATAAAGTGTACATCACACACACACACTCACACACTCGCACACACTCACACAAAGTGTACATCACACACACACACTCACACACGGTGTACATCACACACACACACACTCACACACACACTCACACACTCACACACACTCACACACTCACACAAAGTGTACATCACACACACACACACACTCACACACTCACACACGGTGTACATCACACACACACTCACACACAGACACTCACACACTCACACACGGTGTACATCACACACTCACACACGGTGTATATCACACACACACACACGGTGTACATCACACACACACACACGGTGTACATCACACACTCACACACGGTGTATATCACACACACACATGGTGTACATCACACACTCACACACGGTGTATATCACACACACACACGGTGTACATCACACACACGGTGTACATCACACACTCACACACTCACACATACACACACTCACACACACACTCACACACACTCACACTCACACACGGTGTACATCACACACACACACTCACTCACACACACTCACACACACTCACACACTCGCACAACGTGTACATCACACACTCACACACGGTGTACATCACACACTCACACACACTCACACACATACAGACACTCACACACTCACACACAGACCCCCCACGCACCGACGGGGTCCTCTGGCTGCCGCACTCTCTCCCACTCGCTCTGCCGCTGTTTCCGCTTCTCCTCGAGCGCCGCCTCGCTCACGAAGCGTGACTTCATCAGCAGCTCCTCCGCCATGCCTGCACGGGGGAAGGCAAGGAGATGTTGACTACCTCGCCTGGTACGCAGGAGGTCGTGGGTTAGATCCCGACCCCTGACGCCTACAAGGTGGGTGGCTAGATGTTAACTACATCGCCTGGTACGCAGGAGGTCGTGGGTTAGATCCCAGATCTCTGACGCCTGCAAGGGGGAAGGCAAGGAGATGTTGACTACCTCGCCTGGTACGCAGGAGGTCGTGGGTTACAAGGGGAGTGGCTAGGAGATGTTGACTACCTCGCCTGGTACGCAGGAGGTCGTGGGTTACAAGGGGGGTGGCTAGGAGATGTTGACTACCTCGCCTGGTACGCAGGAGGTCGTGGGTTACAAGGGGGGTGGCTATGAGATGTTGACTACCTCGCCTGGTACGCAGGAGGTCGTGGGTTACAAGGGGGGTGGCTAGATGTTAACTACATCGCCTGGTACGCAGGAGGTCGTGGGTTCGATCCCAGATCCCTGACACCTGCAAGGGGGAAGGCAAGGAGATGTTGACTACCTCGCCTGGTACGCAGGAGGTCGTGGGTTACAAGGGGAGTGGCTAGGAGATGTTGACTACCTCGCCTGGTACGCAGGAGGTCGTGGGTTACAAGGGGGGTGGCTAGGAGATGTTGACTACCTCGCCTGGTACGCAGGAGGTCGTCGGTTCGATCCCGACCCCTGACGATGCCTGCCAATGGGTGGCTATGAGATGTTGACTACCTCGCCTGGTTCGCAGGAGGTCGTGGGTTCAATCCCGACCCCTGACGCCTGCCAGGGGGTGGCTAGGAGATGTTGACTACCTCGCCTGGTACGCAGGAGGTCGTGGGTTACAAGGGGGGTGGCTAGGAGATGTTGACTACCTCGCCTGGTACGCAGGAGGTCGTGGGTTAGATCCAGACCCCTGATGCCTGCCAGGGGGTCGCTATGAGATGTTGACTACCTCGCCTGGTACACAGGAGGTCGTGGGTTCGATCCCAGACCCTGACACCACAGTGGCTATGAGATGTTGACTACCTCGCCTGGTACGCAGGAGGTCGTGCGATCGATCCCGAACCCCAACGCCTGCTGCTGCTGTAGATTTGGAGTCTGCGTCTCTCCCAGTGGTGGTCACTGCGTGGATTTGTCTCCGGGTCCTCCGGTTTTTCCCCTCCACGTTTAGAATCAACGTCACCACGCGTTCAAAGTGTTGAGCCGCTGCTACACATTTCCAGGTGGTGATGATGATGATGGTTTCAGCCACGTGATGATGATGATGATGGTATCAGCCACGTGATGATGGTATCAGCCACGTGGTGGTGATGATGATGATATCAGCAACGTGGTGATGATGATGGTATCAGCAACGTGGTGATGATGATGATGGTATCAGCAACGTGGTGATGATGATGATGGTATCAGCCACGTGGTGATGATGATGATGGTATCAGCCACGTGGTGATGATGATGATGATGGTATCAGCCACGTGGTGATGATGATGATGGTATCAGCCACGTGGTGATGATGATGGTATCAGCCACGTGGTGATGATGATGGTATCAGCCACGTGGTGGTGATGATGATGGTATCAGCCACGTGATGATGATGATGGTATCAGCCACGTGGTGGTGATGATGATGGTATCAGCCACGTGGTGGTGATGGTATCAGCCACGTGGTGGTGCTGATGATGGTATCAGCCACGTGGTGATGATGATGATGGTATCAGCCACGTGGTGATGATGATGATGATGGTATCAGCCACGTGATGATGATGATGATGGTATCAGCAACGTGGTGATGATGATGATGGTATCAGCCACGTGGTGATGATGATGATGATGGTATCAGCCACGTGGTTGATCTGCTATCGTTTGCGATGACCCAGGCTGCCTTCTGACGAGCTACACAGCCTAGCGAACACCTTACAGAGGGCGAACCTGAACATACAAAGAGGGGGTACTTCTACAGAGGGGACCTACAGATAGGGGTTCCCCTATCGAGGGGGTACTTACAGAGAGAAGGGGGTGTCCCCTACAGAGAGGGCGAACCTGGACAGACGACTTACAGAGAGGGGATACTCCTACGGAGGGGACCCACAAACAGGGATACCCCTATCGAAGGGGTACTTGAGAATCAGAGTCTTGTATTTGTACAGCAGCAGAAAATCCGATGGGCTATAAAGCTCTTTGCCACAGATGTCCAGTGAGGTGGGCACGGGGTCAGAACGTGACAACAACAAACACAGTACACACAACAACAAACACTACACACACAGTACACACTACACACACAGTACACACACTACACACACAGTACACACACTACACACACAGTACACACACTACACACACAGTACACACAACACACACAGTACACACAACACACACAGTACACACAACACACACAGTACACACAACAACACAGTACACACAACACACACAGTACACACAACACACACAGTACACACAACAACAGCACAGTACACACAACACACAGTACACACAACAACAAACACAACAACAGCACAGTACACACAACACACAGTACACACAACAACAAACACAACAACAACACAGTACACACAACACACACAGTACACACAACACACACAGTACACACAACACACACAGTACACACAACACACACAGTACACACTACACACACAGTACACACTACACACACAGTACACACAACACACACAGTACACACAACACACACAGTACACACAACAACACAGTACACACAACAACACAGTACACACAACAACAAACACAACATACACAGTACACACAACAACACAGTACACACAACAACAAACACAACAACACAGTACACACAACAACACACACAGTACACACAACAACAACACAGTACACACAACACACACAGTACACACAACACAGTACACACAACACACAAAGTACACACAACAACAAACACAACAACACAGTACACACAACAACAAACACAGTACACACAACACACAGTACACACAACACACACAGTACACACAACACACACAGTACAAACAACACACACAGTACAAACAACACACACAGTACAAACAACACACACAGTACAAACAACACACACAGTACAAACAACACACACAGTACACACAACAACAACACAGTACACACAACAACAACACAGTACACACAACACACAGTACACACAACACCAACACAGTACACACAACACCAACACAGTACACACAACACACACAGTACACACAACAACAACACAGTACACACAACACACACAACAACAACACAGTACACACTACAACACACAACAACACAGTACACACAACACACACAACAACAAACACAACAACAACACAGTACACACAACAACACAACACACAGTACACACAACACACACAGTACACACATAGTACACAGTACACACATAGTACACAGTACACACATAGTACACAGTACACACTACACACACAGTACACACTACACACACAGTACACACTACACACACAGTACACACTACACACACAGTACACACTACACACACAGTACACACTACACACACAGTACACACTACACACACAGTACACACAACACACACAGTACACACTACACACATAGTACACACTACACACACAGTACACACTACACACAGTACACACAACACACAAAGCGCATACAACACACACACTACACACACAGTACACACTACACACATAGTACACAGTACACACACAGTACACACTACACACACAGTACACACTACACACACAGTACACACTACACACATAGTACACACTACACACATAGTACACACTACAGTACACGCAAAAACGATAGCAGTGGCACATGGAAAAGGTAAACAAATAATTTTACGTCTATATGTACCCAAAGAAACGATGGTTTTCACCTTACCACGTAAAGTCCCACCGAGGCATTAACTTGTTATTTGTTTTAAATAAGCGACCTTGCCATCAACAAATGATAACATTAGCCTTGAACCAAAGCAGCAAATCCGTCCGGTGGATAGTAGAGAGAGGGGAGAACACCGATAGGCCTCGCGGGACCCCTAACGGGCCCCCCGACCTTTCCTAGCCGCCCTACCTGCGTCCCCTCACCAAGACCCGGCGGGAACTTCTATCCGAGGCCGCGTCTTCTTCTCCCCCCCCCCACGCCCGTTCGTCCGCTCCCTCCTGCCGAGCACCAACTCCCAGCCGCGAGCGAGGAGACAGAGGGGAAGGAGGCGACGGCGGGGGTTGAAGATGAGGAGGTGGTGGAGGAGGTGGGCGAGCTGCTCCACTCCTAGCGTGCGGTGGTGAGCGCGCTGCGGCCTTCGCCAAAAGCGGCGGCGGGCATGTTGCAACGGGGGTACTTTCGATTCCGATTCCTCTCTCGCAGTTGTCGACGATTATGGAGGGATTCGATTCTGATATATAATCGATTTCAAACTCAGGTGAGGAAGAGACCAATCTTGCTCTTTGGTACTATTCGGTAAAGTCACGTAGGTATAAAATAAAATATTATTTTATTTAGATATAAAATACAATTTTATTTTATTTAGGTAAAAAAAGAAAATATTACTTTATTTAGGTATAAATGAAATATTATTTTATTCAGGTATAAAATAAAATATTAATGTATACTCTTTGGTTCTTTCGGTAAAGGGGCCGTCCATAAATGACGTCACGCGATTTTTGACCCCTCCCCCCCCCTCGTCACACGGGGGTCACAAAAAGTCAGACCCCCCCTCGAATATGACGTCACAAAGCTCTGCCCTTCCCCCCTTAAAACCATATTTCCATTTTGAAAATAAAACATGCTTTAAATCGCTTTAAACTATTGTCATTGGAGTGCGTACGCTTGCGAAACGTGAACCCCCCTAATGGAACATCTTCGCCGGTTAGAAACATTTAAGCTGGCCTGCCTACGATCCATCCTGGGTTTAACCAGGCTGGATTATGTGAGGAGCTCACAAATCCATGAAAGATCTGGGCAAGGTCCCATCGGTGAGCTCCTCCGGCGGGCAAGGCTGCGATGGCTGGGTCATGTAGCCCGCATGCCCAGCCACCGCATGCCGAAACAGCTTTTGTTCGTCCGGATCGAGGTGGCTAAACGGTCGCGGCACGGGCTAGAGAAGAGATGGAGTGACGTGGTACAGGAGGACGTGGAGCTGAGTGGACTTGCCGATGACCGGTACCAGCGGTGTCAAGATCGGCCTCTGTGGAGGAGGCTCGTGAAGGACGCTACTGGGCAGTTGGAGGCAGTCGCCCTCCAACAACAACGGAGAGCGGAGGAGCGACGCTCACAACAACGAGCGGAGCGTTGGGTGGCTAAAGCACAGCAGGTTGGCACAATAGGGGGCACAGGTGGAGCATCGGCCAGTCATCTCAGTCAGTTGACCCGTGGCACCTGGGTCTGCTCCGTGACCTCCTGCCAGCGGGCGTTCGACACTTCACGTGGCCTCAGGTTGCACATAGCCTGGCACAAGCGTCGTGGTGACGTCACCGCCACCTAGTGGCGAATGGCGGTTGTTGTTGTGAGTTAGTGTGTGAGTGGGTGAGTGTGTGAGCGAGTGTGTGAGTGAGTGTGAGTTCGTAAGTGAGTGTGTGTGAGTGTGTGAGAGTGAGTGTGAGTATGTGTGTGAGTTAGTGAGTGTGTGAGTTAGTGTGTGAGTGTTGAGTGAGTAAGTGAGTGTGTGAGTTAGTAAGTGAGTGTGTGAGTGAGTGTGTGAGTTAGTGTGTGTGAGTGAGTGAGTGTGTGAGTTAGTGTGTGAGTGAGTAAGTGAGTGTGTGAGTTAGTAAGTGAGTGTGTGAGTTAGTGAGTGTGTGAGTTAGTGTGTGAGTGTGAGTTAGTGAGTGTGTGAGTTAGTGTGTGAGTGTGAGTTAGTGAGTGTGTGAGTTAGTGTGTGTGAGTGTGAGTTAGTGAGTGTGTGAGTTAGTGTGTGAGTTAGTGTGTGTGAGTGTGAGTGAGTGTGTGAGTTAGTAAGTTAGTGTGTGAGTTAGTGAGTGTGTGAGTTAGTGTGTGTGAGTGTGAGTTAGTGAGTGTGTGAGTTAGTGTGTGTGAGTGTGAGTTAGTGAGTGTGTGAGTTAGTGTGTGTGAGTGTGAGTTAGTGTGTGTGAGTGTGAGTTAGTGAGTGTGTGAGTTAGTGTGTGTGAGTTAGTGAGTGTGTGAGTTAGTGTGCGTGAGTTAGTGTTAGTGTGTGTGTGTCTTCCCGTGTCTCCGCTAGGGGTCGCTTCACTCAACAGCGGTCGCCATGTTAAGGTTCGTGATGTCTCCCCGTGTCTCTGTCTCCCCCGTGTCTCCCGCCTGTCCCCCGTGTCTGTCTCCGTGTGTGTCTCCCCGTGTGTGTCTCCCCGTGTGTCTCCCCGTGTCTCTCTGCTGTGTCTCACTCTCCACGTGTCTCTGTCGGGGTCACGGCTGCATGTGGATGCGAGCACTTAGGCCTAGTGGTAGAGGAGCGGGCTAGACGGAGACACGGGGAGACAGGGAGACACGGGGAGACAGGGAGACACGGGGAGACAGGGAGACACGGGGAGACAGAGACACAGAGACACGGGGAGACAGAGACACTGGGAGACAGAGACACGGGGAGACAGGGAGACATGGGGAGACAGGGAGACAAGGGGAGACAGAGACACGGGGAGAGGGACACGCGTAGACAGAGACACGGGGAGACAGAGACACAGAGACATGGGGACACGGGGAAACAGAGACACGGGGAGACAGACAAGGGGACACGGGGAGACAGAGACACGGGGAGACAGACACGGGGAGAGGGACACGGGGAGACAGAGAGACACGGGTAGACAGAGACACGGGGAGACAGAGACACGGGGAGACAGAGACAGGGAGACAGAGACACGGGAAGACAGAGACACGGGGAGACAGAGACACGGGGAGACAGAGACACGGGGAGAGGGACACGGGGAGAGGGACACGCGTAGACAGACACGGGGAGACAGAGACACAGGGAGACAGAGACATGGGGAGACAGAGAGACAGGGAGACAGAGAGACACGGGGAGACAGAGACATGGGGAGACAGAGACACAGAGACACGGGGAGACAGAGACAGGGAGACAGGGAGACAAGGGGAAACAGAGACACGGGGAGAGGGACACGCATAGACAGAGACACGGGGAGACAAGGACACAGGTAGACAGAGACATGGGGAGACAGACACAGAGACACGGGGAGACAGGGAGACACGGGGAGAGAGAGAGAAACGGGGAGACACAGAGACACGGGGAGACAGAGAGACACGGGGAGACAGAGAGACACGGGGAGACACAGAGACACGGGGAGACAGAGAGACACGGGAAGACAGGGAGACAGAGACACAGACACGGGGAGACAGAGACACGGGGAGACAGAGACACGGGGAGACAGAGACACGGGGAGACAGAGACACGGGGAGACAGGGAGACACGGGGAGACAGGGAGACAAGGGGAGACAGAGACACGGGGAGAGGGACACGCGTAGACAGAGACACGGGGAGACAGAGACACAGAGACATGGGGACACGGGGAGACAGAGACACGGGGAGACAGACAAGGGGACACGGGGAGACAGAGGCACGGGGAGACAGACACGGGGAGAGGGACACGGGGAGACAGAGAGACACGGGTAGACAGAGACACGGGGAGACAGAGACAGGGAGACAGAGACACGGGAAGACAGAGACACGGGGAGACAGAGACACGGGGAGACAGAGACACGGGGAGAGGGACACGGGGAGAGGGACACGCGTAGACAGACACGGGGAGACAGAGACACAGGGAGACAGAGACATGGGGAGACAGAGAGACAGGGAGACAGAGAGACACGGGGAGACAGAGACATGGGGAGACAGAGACACAGAGACACGGGGAGACAGAGAGACAGGGAGACAGGGAGACAAGGGGAAACAGAGACACGGGGAGAGGGACACGCATAGACAGAGACACGGGGAGACAGAGACACAGGTAGACAGAGACATGGGGAGACAGACACAGAGACACGGGGAGACAGAGAGACAGGGAGACACGGGGAGACAGAGACACGGGGAGACAGAGAGACGGGAAGACAGGGAGACAGAGAGACACGGGGAGACAGAGAAACACAGGGAGACAGTGACACGGTGAGACACAGAGACACGGGGAGACACAGAGACACGGGGAGACAGAGATACGGGGAGACAGAGACACGGGGAGACACAGAGACACGGGGAGACACAGAGACACGGGGAGACAGAGATACGGGGAGACAGTGACACGGTGAGACACAGAGACACGGGGAGACACAGAGACACGGGGAGACAGAGATACGGGGAGACAGAGACACGGGGAGACACAGAGACACGGGGAGACAGAGAGACACGGGGAGATAGAGACATGGGGAGACAGAGAGACACGGGGAGACAGAGACACGGGGAGACAGAGACACGGGGAGACAGAGAGACACGGGGAGACACAGAGACACGGGGAGACAGAGATACCGGGAGACAGAGACACGGGGAGACACAGAGACACGGGGAGACAGAGAGACACGGGGAGACACGGGGAGACAGAGAGACACGGGGAGACACAGAGACACGGGGAGACAGAGAGACACGGGGAGACACGGGGAGACAGAGAGACACGGGGAGACAGAGAGACACGGGGAGACAGAGACACGGGGAGACAGAGAGACACGGGGAGACAGAGACACAGAGACACGGGGAGACAGAGAGACACGGGGAGACAGAGACACGGGGAGACAGAGACACGGGGAGAGGGACACGGGGAGAGGGACACGCGTAGACAGACACGGGGAGACAGAGACACAGGGAGACAGAGACATGGGGAGACAGAGACACAGAGACACGGGGAGACAGAGAGACAGGGAGACAGAGAGATACGGGGAGACAGAGAGACACGGGGAGACAGAGAGACACGGGGAGACAGAGCCACGTCTTTATTTCTCACGATGATCCGGTGCTTTACCGGCCAACAGCACTTGCCCCAAAACCGATCCAACCCAATCATCGGTGCCGCTGCTCGCTAACGGCACTTGCCCCGACATCCCGTGCAGGCTACGCGGGCGACCTTTGCCTTGACCTTTGCCCGTTGCCTGCCGCCGACAGGATGGCGCTGAGCTTCTGCCCGTTCTGCGGCGGCCAGGTGCAAGAGGCCTTCCACTTCTGCCCTTCGTGCGGCCAGGGCCTCTCGGCCGTGACCACCGCGTGCCGCCTGGCCGGGGCCGGCGGCCCCTCCGCCGGCCACGGCCTCGACCACGGCCTCGAGCACGGCCTCGAGCACGGCCTCGAACACGGCCTCGAACACGGCCGCGGCCGTGGCCGCAAGCGTCGTCAGCCGCTCCTCGCCGACGACGAGGACGACGCTGGTGCCGGCAGCCCAGGTTCCGAGCGCGTGCGTGTGCGTGTGTGCACGTGTGTGTGTGTGCGTGTGCGTGCGTGTGTGTGCACGTGTGTGCGCTTGTGCGTGTGTGTGAGTGTGCGGCAAAAACAACCCCCAACCTCCTCGTGGTGCCTGACGGGCAACGCTGTCGTGGACAGTGCTGTGGTGGGGAGATCCAATTTTGATTGGCTCCTCCCCTCATGGCATATGTGTCCACCACAGGGGCTAAACGGGGGCTCTGGACGGGTGCGAGGGGCTGGTAACCTTCAACTAATTATCACAAAACCACAACGTAAAAAAATATCTAATGAATAAGCTTGGGCCGGAGGCCCCCTGAGGGACAGGCGTCTATGACGTCTCCTGGCCAAACCCCAATTTGGCGGAGGCAGGAGATTGAATTTTTACCCTCGGGGCTCCTCCAGAAAGAACGAAAAGCCACTTCGTGTGGCCACGTGGAATGTTCGAACGCTCACTGAGGAGGAGAGGCTGCCACTCCTCTGTCGGGAGCTGGACCGGTACCGCCTGGATCTCTGTGGCATTCAGGAGGTCCGGTGGACCGGCTCTGGCTCCTGTCACACCATGAGGGGTGGACAGTCCTCTATTCGGGGCAGGAGACTACCAAACAACAGGGAGTGGCTCTTCTTCTGAACAAAAGAATGAAGGGGGGCGTGGGAGCGTGGCGGTGAGGTGTGGGAAGCTGTAAGCTCCAGGTTACTTTGGGCTCGCCTTCCCATCAACCGGAGGCGAGGAGTGGTGATCGTGGTTACTTATGCCCCCACCAAAAACGAACATCCGTGGAGGGATGCAGGCAAGGCCGATGAGTCAGATGCCTTCTATGACCTCCAGTCACATGTGCTGGCTAAAGTGGCCCCTCGGGATAGAGTCATCTTGTTGGGTGACTTCAATACCCAAGTTGGTCATGATGCTGGTATCTGGTCTGGAGTGATTGGAAGGCATGGGCCAGATCAGCTCATTAAAAACGGTAGGAGGCTGCTAGATTTATGTGCAGCCCATGGGCTGGTAATTACCAACACACTGTTCCGGCATCGGCGCATCCACACAACATCATGGATGCATGCCGGGTCCAAGCAAGAACATCTGCTGGACTACATAGTGATGGATCAGCGGATGTGATCCCATGTCTTTGACACCAGGACCTACTGTGGAGCTGATCTGCCCTCTGACCATCGACTTGTCATCTGTAAGATGCACCTGCCATTCTTCCACTCCGGAGGCTTCGTGAAGGACGCTGCTGCTGGGCGGTGCCAGGCTAGGTGCACCTTGAAGCTGCTGGGCCACTCGGAGGCAGTCGTCCTCCAGCAACAAGGGAGCGGAGCGCCGGGCGGATAAAACACAGCGGGTTGGCACAGTGGGGGGCACAGCTGGTGGTGCATCGGCCAGTAGTCATCTCAGTTAGTCAACCAGTGGCACCTGCTGGGTCTGTCCCGTGACCTCTTCCTCCTGCACCTAGCCTGGCACAGCAGTCAGCCAGTGGCACCTGCTGGGTCTGTCCCGTAACCTCCTCCTCCTGCACCTAGCCTGGCACAGCAGTCAACCCATGGCACCTGCTGGGTCTGTCCCGTGACCTCCTCCTCATGCACCTAGCCTGGCACAGCAGTCAATCCACGGCAACTGGCTGGGTCTGTCCCGTGACCTCCTCCTGCACCTAGCCTGGCACAGCAGTCAACCCATGGCACCTGCTGGGTCTGTCCCGTGACCTCCTGCACGCGGGCGTTCGACACTTTACGTGGCCTCAAGGTGCACATGGCCTGGCACAAGCTTCGTGGTGACGTCACCGCAACTTAGTGGCGAATGGCGGTTGTTGTTGTTGTGTGAGTGAGTGTGTGAGTGAGTGTGTGACGGAGTGAGTGTGTGATTGAGTGAGTGTGTGAGTGAGTGTGTGAGTGAGTGTGTGACTGAGTGCGTGTGTGAGTGTGTGAGTGAGTGTGTGATTGAGTGTGTGAGTGTGTAAGTGAGTGAGTGTGTGAGTGAGTGTGTGACTGAGTGAGTGTGTGACTGAGTGAGTGTGTGACTGAGTGAGTGTGTGATTGAGTGTGTGACTGAGTGTGTGAGTGAGTGTGTGATTGAGTGTCTGAGTGTGTAAGTGAGTGAGTGTGTGAGTGAGTGTGTGACTGAGTGAGTGTGTGATTGAGTGTGTGACTGAGTGTGTGAGTGAGTGTGTGATTGAGTGTGTGAGTGTGTAAGTGAGTGAGTGTGTGATTGAGTGTGTGAGTGAGTGTGTGACAGAGTGAGTGTGTGACTGAGTGAGTGTGTGATTGAGTGTGTGACTGAGTGTGTGAGTGAGTGTGTGATTAAGTGTGTGAGTGTGTAAGTGAGTGAGTGTGTGACAGAGTGAGTGTGTGTGTGAGTGAGTGTGTGACTGAGTGAGTGTGTGACTGAGTGTGTGAGTGAGTGTGTGAGTGAGTGTGTGCGTGAGTGTGTGTGTGAGTGAGTGTGTGACTGAGTGAGTGTGTGACTGAGTGAGTGTGTGACTGAGTGAGTGTGTAACTGAGTGAGTGTGTGATTGAGTGTGTGAGTGAGTGTGTAACTGAGTGTGTGACTGAGTGTGTGTGTGAGTGAGTGTGTGACTGAGTGAGTGTGTGACTGAGTGAGTGTGTGACTGAGTGAGTGTGTGACTGAGTGAGTGTGTGACTGAGTGAGTGTGTAACTGAGTGAGTGTGTAACTGAGTGTGTGAGTGAATCGCTGAGTCACTTAGCTGAGTGAATTGCTGAGTGAGTGAATGAGACTTCTCTATCCTGATCTCTCCCTCCCCCACCTCCCTCCCTCCCTCCCCTCCCCCACCTCCCTTCCCCACCTCCCTCCCCCCCCACCTCCCCCCCCACCTCCCTCCCCCCCACCTCCCCCCCCACCTCCCTCCCCCCCACCTCCCCCCCCACCTCCCCCCCCACCTCCCCCCCTCCCCCTCCGCCACAGCCGCATCTCCGGCGAGGCGAGGGCTGCGGTGGTGCAGGCCGCCGGCCGAATCTCCCGTCGCCGGCGCCGGCACCGCGGACCCCGGCGTGGCCGGCGTAGCCGGCGTGGCCGGCGTGGCCGGCGTGGCCGGCGTGGCCGGCGTGGCCGGCGTGGCCGGCGCCGGGCCCGCCGGCACGCCCGGGGAGACGCGGCGCAAGTCGGTGGCGTTTGCGCCGATCGGCAGACAGAAGCCGCCGCTGTCGCCGCCGGCTGAGCCGCCGCCACCACAGCCGACGCCGGCACCGGCGGCGGTGGCGGTGGCTCAGCCGGCGGCTCAGCCGGCGGTGGTGGTGACGCGAGATGCCAGGATGGAGTTGACGCCGACTGCCGCGACCGGTGAGCGTGGGGCGGTGAGTGGCTGGGTGAGTGAGTGGCTGGGTGAGCGAGTTGGTGAGTGGCTGGGTGAGTGGCTGGGTGAGCGAGTTGGTGAGTGGTTGGGCGAGTGGCTGGGTGAGTGGCTGGGTGAGCGAGTTAGTGAGTGGGTGGGTGAGTGGCTGAGTGAGTGGGTGGCTGGGTGAGCGAGTTAGTGAGTGGGTGGGTGAGTGAGTGGCTGGGTGAGTGAGTGGCTGGGTGAGCGAGTTGGTGAGTGGGTGGGTGAGTGGCTGGGTGAGTGAGTGGCTGGGTGAGCGAGTTGGTGAGTGGGTGGGTGAGTGGCTGAGAGAGTGAGTGGCTGGGTGAGCGAGTTAGTGAGTGGCTGGGTGAGTGGTTGGGCGAGTGGCTGGGTGAGTGGCTGGGTGAGCGAGTTGGTGAGTGGTTGGGCGAGTGGCTGGGTGAGTGGCTGGGTGAGCGAGTTAGTGAGTGGGTGGGTGAGTGGCTGAGTGAGTGGGTGGCTGGGTGAGCGAGTTAGTGAGTGGGTGGGTGAGTGAGTGGCTGGGTGAGTGAGTGGCTGGGTGAGCGAGTTGGTGAGTGGGTGGGTGAGTGGCTGGGTGAGTGAGTGGCTGGGTGAGCGAGTTGGTGAGTGGGTGAGTGAGTGGCTGAGAGAGTGAGTGGCTGGGTGAGCGAGTTAGTGAGTGGCTGGGTGAGTGGTTGGGCGAGTGGCTGGGTGAGTGGCTGGGTGAGCGAGTTGGTGAGTGGTTGGGCGAGTGGCTGGGTGAGTGGCTGGGTGAGCGAGTTAGTGAGTGGGTGGGTGAGTGGCTGAGTGAGTGGGTGGCTGGGTGAGCGAGTTAGTGAGTGGGTGGGTGAGTGAGTGGCTGGGTGAGTGAGTGGCTGGGTGAGCGAGTTGGTGAGTGGGTGGGTGAGTGGCTGGGTGAGTGAGTGGCTGGGTGAGCGAGTTGGTGAGTGGGTGGGTGAGTGGCTGAGAGAGTGAGTGGCTGGGTGAGCGAGTTAGTGAGTGGCTGGGTGAGTGGTTGGGCGAGTGGCTGGGTGAGTGGCTGGGTGAGCGAGTTAGTGAGTGGCTGGGTGAGTGGCTGGGTGAGCGAGTTAGTGAGTGGGTGGGTGAGTGGCTGAGTGAGTGGGTGGCTGGGTGAGCGAGTTAGTGAGTGGGTGGGTGAGTGAGTGAGTGGCTGGGTGAGTGAGTGGCTGGGTGAGCGAGTTGGTGAGTGGGTGGGTGAGTGGCTGGGTGAGTGAGTGGCTGGGTGAGCGAGTTGGTGAGTGGGTGGGTGAGTGGCTGAGAGAGTGAGTGGCTGGGTGAGCGAGTTAGTGAGTGGCTGGGTGAGTGAGTGGCTGGGTGAGTGAGTGGCTGGGTGAGTGAGTGGCTGGGTGAGCGAGTTAATGAGTGGTTGGGTGAGTGGCTGGGTGAGTGAGTGGCTGGGTGAGCGAGTTGGTGAGTGGTTGGGTGAGTGACTGGGTGAGTGAGTGGCTGGGTGAGCGAGTTGGTGAGTGGTTGGGTGAGTGGCTGGGTGAGTGAGTGGCTGGGTGAGCGAGTTGGTGAGTGGGTGGGTGAGTGGCTGGGTGAGTGAGTGGCTGGGTGAGCGAGTTGGTGAGTGGGTGGGTGAGTGGCTGAGAGAGTGAGTGGCTGGGTGAGCGAGTTAGTGAGTGGCTGGGTGAGTGAGTGGCTGGGTGAGTGAGTGGCTGGGTGAGTGAGTGGCTGGGTGAGCGAGTTAATGAGTGGTTGGGTGAGTGGCTGGGTGAGTGAGTGGCTGGGTGAGCGAGTTGGTGAGTGGTTGGGTGAGTGACTGGGTGAGTGAGTGGCTGGGTGAGCGAGTTGGTGAGTGGTTGGGTGAGTGGCTGGGTGAGTGAGTGGCTGGGTGAGCGAGTTGGTGAGTGGTTGGGTGAGTGGCTGGGTGAGTGAGTGGCTGGGTGAGCGAGTTAGTGAGTGGGTGGGTGAGTGAGTGAGTGGCTGGGTGAGTGAGTGGCTGGGTGAGCGAGTTAGTGAGTGGGTGGGTGAGTGAGTGAGTGGCTGGGTGAGCGAGTAGGTGAGTGGCTGAGTGAGTGGGTCGGTGAGTGAGTGAGTGGCTGAGTAAGTGGGTAGGCGAGTGGGTGAGCGAGTAGGTGAGTGGCTGCGTGAGTGGGTCGGTGAGTGAGTAGGTGAGTGGCTGAGTGGTTGAGTGAGTGGCTGAGTGAGTGAGTTGGTGAGTGCGTGGGTGAGTGAGTGGCTGAGTGGTTGAGTGAGTGGCTGAGTGAGTTGGTGAGTGCGTGGGTGAGTGAGTGGGTGGCTGAGTGAGTGAGTTGGTGAGTGGGTGGGTGAGTGAGTGGCTGAGTGAGTGAGTTGGTGAGTGGGTGGGTGAGTGAATAGGTGAGTGGCTGAGTGAGTGAGTGGGTGGGTGGGTGAGTGAGTAGGTGAGTAGCTGAGTGAGTAGCTGAGTGAGTAAGTGGATGAGTTGGTGGGTGAGTGAGTAGGTGAGTGGCTGAGTGAATGAGTAGGTGGGTGAGTGAGTAGGTGAGTGGCTGAGTGAGTAAGTGGGTGGGTGAGTAGGTCAGTGGCTGAGTGAGTGAGTGGGTAAGTGGCTGAGTGAGTGAGTAAGCGGGTGGGTGAGTAGGTGAGTGGCTGAGTGAGTAGCTGAGTGAGTAGCTGAGTGAGTGAGTAGCTGAGTGACTAGCTGAGTGAGTGGGTGAGTAGCTGAGTGAGTGGGTGAGTGGCTGAGTGACTAGCTGAGTGAGTGGGTGAGTAGCTGAGTGACTAGCTGAGTGAGTAGCTGAGTGAGTAGCTGAGTGAGTAGCTGAGTGAGTGGGTGAGTGGCTGAGTGACTAGCTGAGTGAGTGGGTGAGTAGCTGAGTGAGTAGCTGAGTGAGTAGCTGAGTGAGTGGGTGAGTAGCTGAGTGAGTGAGTAGCTGAGTGAGTAGCTGAGTGAGTAGCTGAGCGATTGAATGAGTAGCTGAGCGAGTAGCTGAGTGAGTGAGTGGGTGAGTGGCTGAGTGAATGAGTGAGTAGCTGAGTGACTAGCTGAGTGAGTGAGTAGCTGAGTGAGTAGCTGAGTGAGTAGCTGAGTGAGTGAGTAGCTGAGTGAGTAGCTGAGTGAGTGAGTAGCTGAGCGAGTGAGTAGCTGAGTGAGTGAGTGAGTAGCTGAGCGAGTAGCTGAGTGAGTAGCTGAGTGAGTGAGTGGGTGAGTGGCTGAGTGAATGAGTGAGTAGCTGAGTGAGTAGCTGAGTGAGTAGCTGAGCGAGTAGCTGAGCGAGTGAGTAGCTGAGTGAGTAGCTGAGTGACTAGCTGAGTGAGTGAGTAGCTGAGTGAGTAGCTGAGTGAGTGGCTGAGTGACTAGCTGAGCGAGTGAGTAGCTGAGTGAGTAGCTGAGTGAGTAGCTGAGTGAGTGAGTAGCTGAGTGAGTAGCTGAGTGAGTGAGTAGCTGAGCGAGTGAGTAGCTGAGTGAGTGAGTGAGTAGCTGAGCGAGTAGCTGAGTGAGTAGCTGAGTGAGTGAGTGGGTGAGTGGCTGAGTGAATGAGTGAGTAGCTGAGTGACTAGCTGAGTGATTGAGTAGCTGAGCGAGTAGCTGAGCGAGTAGCTGAGCGAGTAGCTGAGCGAGTAGCTGAGCGAGTGAGTGGGTGAGTGGCTGAGTGAATGAGTGAGTAGCTGAGTGACTAGCTGAGTGAGTGAGTAGCTGAGTGAGTAGCTGAGCGAGTAGCTGAGCGAGTGGGTGGGGTTGGCACGACCCCCCGGTGCAGTGCCCAAGCCACGTGCCCCCAAGCGGTGGAGTGGGGTGGAGTTGCCGCTCACTCCGCTGGACGGCGAGGAGCTGGAGGACATCACTGGGCGGCGCTGGGCACTGGGCGAGCTGCTCACCCAGGGTGACTCGACACAGCTCTACCTGGGTGAGCGCCAGCGTCCACCGCTCGCTCGTCCACCGCTCGCTGTGTGTGTCTGTGTGTGTGTGTGAGTGTGCGTGTCTGTGAGTGTGTCTGTGTGTGTGAGTGTGTGTCTGTGTGTGCGAGTCTGTGTGTGTGAGTGTGTGTCTGTGTGTGCGAGTCTGTGTGAGTGAGTGTGTGTCTGTGTGTCCGTGTGTGTGAGTGTGTGTGAGTGTGTGTCTGTGTGTCCGTGTGAGTGATTGTGGGTCCGTGTGTGAGTGTATCTGTGTGTGTGTGTGTGAGTGTATCTGTGTGTGTGAGTCTGTGTGTGTGAGTGTGTGTCTGTGTGTCCGTGTGTGTGTGAGTCTGTGTACGAGTCTGTGTGTGTGAGTCTGTGTATCTGTGTGTGTGTGTGAGTGTATCTGTGTGTGTGCGAGTGTGTGTCTGTGTGTCCGTGTGAGTGATTGTGTGTCCGTGTGTGTGAGTGTGTGTGAGTGTGTGTGAGTGTGTGTGTAGCGGTTAGCGCGCTGCGCTATGAACCTGGCGACCCGGGTTCGATTCCCGCTCATGGCCAACACCAGTGACGATTATCTGAACCGGTCCCGGGCCTCCCCTAGCTCGACTCAGCCTCAAATGAGTACCCGGTGCGGTGTGTAAACATCGCCACGAGGGAGACAAAGGCGGCCGGGCGTGGTGGTGCTGGTAGCCACCCACCCCCTCGTGTGCCACAGTGCCGGTAGCCTTCCTAGGTGCTGCTGCTACTCGCTAACAGCACTTGCCCCTACAGTCTGTTGAGGCTACACGGGGGATCTTTGTCTTTGTGCTCGCTATAACAGCACTTGCCCCTACAGTCTGTTAAGGCTACACGGGAGATCTTTGTCTTTGTAGGTGCTGCTCGCTAACAGCACTTGCCCCTGCAGTCTGTTGAGGCTGCACGGGGGATCTTTGTCTCTGTAGGTGCTGCTCGCTAACAGCACTTGCCCCTCCAGTCTGTTGAGGCTACACGGGGGATCTTTGTCTCTGTGTGTGTGCGTGGGAGAGTAGCACAGAAGCTGACGGGCCGATCAGCTGGGGACCAGGGAAGTGCAGAACACCTCATCAAAATCGTACGCAGATCGCTCCCCTGTCACTCTTCGAAAGCTGCTGCTGCTGCTACTGCTGCTGCTACTACTGCTGCTACTGCTACAACTACTGCTGCTACTGCTGCTGCTACTACTGCTGCTACTGCTACAACTACTGCTGCTACTGCTGCTGCTGCCGCTGTTGCTACTGCTGCTACTGCTGCTACTGCTACAACTACTGCTGCTACTGCTACTACTACTGCTGCTGCTGCTGCTACTGCTGCTACTACTGCTGCTGCTGCTGCCACTGCTACTGCTGCTGCTACTGCTGCTGCTGCTATTGCTACTACTGCTGCTGCTGCTACTGCTGCTGCTATTGCTACTACTGCTGCTGCCGCCGCTGCTGCTGCTGCTACTGCTGCTACTGCTGCTGCTACTGCTGCTGCTACTGCTGCTGCTACTACTGCTGCTGCTGCTACTGCTGCTGCTGCTACTGCTGCTGCTGCTGCCGTGGATGCTGTTGCCGCGAACTTCACTGACTCAGTCGCTCCCCATCCTGCTCCTCCTCTTCCTCCGCCCGTGTTGAGGACTGATTCACTGTCTCACCGCCACCGCCACCACGCTATGTCCAACCATCAACACCACCATACTGCAGATCACAACGACACACTCACTCAACCACTCACTCACTCACTCAACCACTCACTCACTCACTCAACCACTCAC